AATATGCTCTATCCTTAGCAACACTATACTCTAACCACTTAAACTTATCAAACCAAACACTTTGAAACCGTCTTTTTTTGTTGCCCGTCATAGTTTGTGGAAAGTTATGCACCAATGGTCGACATGGACCTTTTGCTAAGTATCTTCTTCTTATGACATCTCTAATTTCCAACGGATAACTATTGATTGGTTTTCTTAATCCCGGATCAGCAACAATATCATCATTTGAAATCACACTTTCTTTCTCTAGAGATGAAGAAACTTCTTGTTCCTTGCCTTTATCATTTACAAATGTCAAATTCTTCTTTTCTCTAATAACAAATTTATCCATTTCAGGTCTCAAGATTACCTAATTAAATAATAAATTAACAAAATGAATATACAATAACATTTAACAAATACGGAGTATTTAAATATCAATAAAAAAATTAGGGATCTGCCTAAAAATTAGAACAAGGGAATAAATTAAAGTATTCAAAAAAATAAATTGACAGTATTTAAGGGAAATTGAATATACCTGATGATGAGAGCCTTCGTATTTGTGAAGAAGAAGAAGAATTGAAGAAGAAAAACTCAAAAAGTGAAGACGATTGGATTTTTTTTTCACTTTGCCGCACGAACATGAGAGAATAGAGACAGTCACAGTGCCTTTTTTTGCTTTTGCTTTGCCGCACGAAAAAAACTAGGGAATTGTTAATTACTTAATGGGTATAGCCATCATTTGGTCAAACGGCCCAAACCCTTAATTTTTTTTTTTAAAAAACTTATCACCACGACGTCGTTTAAATCTTTATTTTTTCCGGAAATTGCAGCGGCTTCTTCTTCTTCTTTCCTGTGCACAGCCGCCACAGACCACAATGCATGCCTGAAAATTTGGGGGGCACACCAAGCCTACCATCGGAGAAGTGATACACTACTACTACTTCGCCGGAAATTCGCCGGGGGGGCACTTGCCCTGGCAGCCCCCCCCCTCTCCTCCGCCCCTGTATGATAGTGCTAAAACAAGATATTTCCAAAGTTATCCTTTTAAGGTCAAACTTGTATTCGAATCATAAGTCTCAAAGAGACAAATTGATGTTCATTTAGTAACATCGATGTTTCAATCTTACCGTTGGGGGTATTTCTAAATTCAAAAGGCTGAACAACGATGTAGCCTTGAAGTTATGAAGGTTGCATGTAGCCAAAGGCAGTCAGAGCTCAAAACAACGATGTATGATAATGCTAAAACAAGATATTTCCAAAGTTATCCTTTTAAGGTCAAACTTGTATTCGAATCGCAAGTCTCGAAGAGACAAATTCAACAGTGTATTTTTTGTGTGAATCTGAGTTACACAACTTAGTGATTTCAATATTGTTATTTTAAAGGCTTCTGCAACGTTTGTTTGGTTTACTCCAATCAACTTATATTTATTTTAAAATTATTATGAATGAATATTTTATTTTAAATATTTTTGAAATATTGTCTATGTGAATACCAATTTAGTAGCAATCTGATTCACTAACTCGTTGGTTCGGGTTACACATGTTGGAGTGTTACAACCTAGAGTAATGCTTATATGGTCCCAAGGTATAAATTTAAAATGTGGGTCTTCTCATTATTTCATAGACTTGTATGTAGATTGTTTCTTTTTTACAAAAGGTCCACTTTTTATGCTACAAACGCACTAAGGTCCATAAACAATAAGCATGAACCTTATGTTCCCTGAAGAATTTGCTAAACCTAATTGATGGCTGATTGGTCCATGGATTATTTTTGTGTACGTGTAGTGATTGGCGTTAGGCCACGACTGAATAATAGTCAGTTATGACTAATCCACTTTTCGGACGTAGTAAGAAATATAAATTCAGATATGAGAGTTCTTCCCCAGTCTAGATCATTCTTGTTGTGGTCTTCCCCGGTCTAAGTCATTGTTGTTGTGTTCTTACTTTCTAGTTCGTTATTGTCAATTCAGTGAGACGTATTGACCCGGTCAAGCTAAGCCATATCAATCCATACCCGGTTCAACTTACACCATCAACTATTATTTTTTTATAATCACAATAATAAAAATAAATATAAGTCATTCAAGCCGCCCCCTGCTTGCGGGCTTGAACATAAAGCCCAATCTCGACTTCTAATTACATGGGCCTATGTATATATAGCTCAAGTGTGCCTTGTATCCTAAAATAGATAGCACTTCGGTTCCTCTTGACAATGTAAGTCCAATCTTGATATTGCTAAACAATGTAATGGGATGACCCAAGGGCCGTTCGATGTTTCGTTCGTAAAATTAACGTTTTTATCCTTCCTAACTCTCCAGTAAACTCCCCACCATACCTTGCTCCGAACCTACCGCTCCACACATTTCAGTTGCATCTTCTAAATTTAGTTGACTTTTGAGTACCCAAGCTCGTGATCGGGTCATCAAGTCATCTCAAGTCATCTCGGGTCATCCTCCAAAATCTAAAAAGAAATACGCTGCCCGTGAAAGACTCTACACTGCGCAAGCCCAAGTAGGTGTTTCGAACGTTAAGAGAATTTGAAATCTCAACGGACCATTTCAAATCGAAACCCTCTCATTATTTGTCTCTCCATTCCCTCTCCCCCCCCCCCACCCCCCAAAATCTCTCTCAATTTCTGGAAGAATATATATAGAAGTATAACAACAGGCATGGCGGACGAGAAGGGAAGAGTATCGTCATCATCAATCATGGAGGCGAAGCCGGTTCACCCGCTGCACCAGATCTCCGAGTTCCCGACGCACAAGCTCCTCCTCAAGCAATGGCTCAAGGAGGAAGACCTAATCCTCAACCGGATCGTCGCGAAAGAGGCTCAAATCGACTCGGTCAGAAAGGAGATCACTCAGATCTACTGCCTCTTCTTCCTCTTCCACTCCCTCTCCCTCACCGTCCTCTTCGCCTCCGCCTCCCGATCGCCGCCGCCGCCGCCGCACGGCTGCCGCAGATCGTGGATCCCGTCGCTCTGCTCCCTCCTCTGCTCCCTCGGACTGATCTGGGCGGTCCGGTACAAGACCGACACGGAGCACCATCTGGAGAAGCTTCTGGAGAGGGAGAAGGAGGACGGTAAGCTGCTGGGGAAATGCGTGGAGGAGCTGAGGAAGAAGGGGGCCGAGTTCGATCTGATGAAGGAAGTCGACGCCCTGAGGAGGGCCAAGAGTATGAGAATGGAAGCCAAGGCGGCGGCGCTGCGGAAATGGTCCGGTAGGGATTTCTCCACTCTCTTCTTCTTCACACTTTCCTGTGTTGTTCTTGGCCTTACAAACCTCATCCTGTGCGGCTAAATCTTCTTCCCATCTATCATCCGTGTGACGAAATTACTGATTTTTACTCACTTTATTTTTGGCAGTTCTAATTTCTAATGTCTTTTTTTCTTCTTGTTTAATTTTGACTATTCTGATAATTCTTGCTTGGGATTTCCAGAATGATTGGTATTTCGGGTTTGTATTTTGGAATTCTGACGGTGTATTTTAATTCGCAATATATTACTCCTCCACATAATTAGGCATTTAGCTGTCCACTTGTCTAATCAACTCTAATTAGCAATGAGATGCAATAACAAGACTCTAGTATTATTGGGTACGCACGGTTCTTTGCCCTGCAATGTCATGCTATTATTCGGGTGCTCCTCTATCCGGTCCGTTCGTAAAATTGACAGTTCTTATTCTTCCGGTAAACCTCACACCCTCGCTCCGACACAAACACACCCTTGCCCCTAGAGCTGGCAAATCGGTCGGTTAGGTCGGGTTTGGGTTTGATCACTTCAAATTCAGGTTATTTCGGGTTCGGGTCAATTCGGATTCGGATTGGGAACTATATGATCATGACTTAGTGTCATCGGATTTGGGTCGACCCAATGGGTTATGACTTTGGTTTTTTTAAATTTTTCTATTAAATAAATTTAAAATATCAAAAACATGTATTAAATCTATAACATTATTTTATTTTAAACTTTGAATTAATTTTTAGATGTATAAATCAATATAAAGAATTTAAAAATACTTAAGTTCTGGAAAAAGTAAGATAATTATGTAATATCATTGAAATTTTGTCTGAAAATAGAAATTTATACACTAAAAATGAGTGATAAAGTGTATAATTTTGAAAAATTCTTACTTTACTGGGTCGGTCAGGTTGGGTTCGGTCAGGTTTGACCCATTTTTAGCGGGTCATTTTGGGTTCGGTCATTTTTCTGGTACAGTCATCAAAACTTTTGTCCAAACAGATCGGGTCATTTTTTGTCAGGTTTACTCACCCCATTTAATTGCACCTCACAAGTTAATTTTGATTTTTGATTCAAATTTAACTTGTGAGGTGCAATTGTGGGAGGTGGGGGTAGAAGGACGTGTCCAGGGCGGGGTAAGAAGTGTCAAGTTTACAAAACTGGAGCGTCTCCGAATTATATTTGACATGAGGTTATAATGTGGTGGGAAACACGTGTTAGTCATTCTCCTCATACTTTTCATTACCTCATCAACTTTATGTCACATCATTTTCTTGTTTTAAATTTTTTCACTCTACTCTAACCATTTTTTTCTCTTTTATTTTTATTTTAAGGTTGATGGTCATTATATACGGAGTAGATATTAGTGCATTTGTATGATAAGAGAATGTGTCTTTTCAAAAAAAAGAATATATCCACATACAAGTCCGTAAAAATGTGAGAAGATTTGCATTTTAAATGTGGATGCGTGATTTCTTTTACTTTATATACCCGTTGTAATCATTTGAAAACCATATGAGTGACATTTTTTAGAGGTTTGATGAAAACTTGAGACACAATATATAAACGAAAAAAGGATTGTCATTTTTTAAAGAAACGAATGGTTTGAAAACATTTTAATTCATCACTCGTTAAGAAGGATTTTGTTTGGAATGCTTTTTTCAGACATTGCATTCAATACTTAAAGGGCCTGTTTGGAAAGTTTTAAAGATATGATAAGATATGAGTTATAAAATTAGAAAGAAATGATATGAGTTTTAAAATCTGAAACGAACTTGTTTGGAGAAATTTAAAATTATAATTTAATTAGTGATAAGTGAGGGTGACCGGCAACGGAGTTGGTTGGGGGTGACAATAATAGCCGGTGACAATGGTAGTCATATTACCTCTTATTTTATAGAACTTTTGATATAGTTTTAAAATATATAAATTTTATTTTTTAATTTTACACTTATAATCAAACAAATTAAATTTAAAATATTTTTAGTAAAATTTATAAACTGAGGCCAAATAGCGCTAGTATCCCTGGTTTGTAAAATATGCATCAATACCCTCTTGTTTTCAAAACCTATTTCTAAAGTCATTGTAATTTTAAAACGCTGCACCCGTGTCTCCTCTGATCATTTTCTGACCATTTTTCGAAGAAGGAGACATTGGTGCATTTTTTCTAAACCATATGTGCTACTAGTGCCGATTATTTATTTCTTGCTAATCTTTTGTGTTTTCTATTTTTTCCTTTATTTGTTTCATTTATTAATAAAAGTTTTTTTAAAATTATTTTTATAATGTTCTTACAATTTAAAGTAATTTTTGTTTGAAAAAAATTAACATATAATGTATTTGTACGTCTCAAAATAATATTTTTTGTTTTTTTACGAAAGAAGTAATTTTTTTTGAGAACTTCAAAAAAACAAGGAATAAATAAGAAACAAAATAATACAAAAATAAAACTGAATATCCTTTTTAAACATCTCAATTCTAAGGAGTTTCTTAGGCGTGCTCGAAAATTGTTTTTTTGTAAAAGACTCTTTTTTGTGTATTTTAATTTTTTTCATTTTGTTTTTCCATATTTTTATTTTAATATTTTGGGTTTTCTTTTTGAACTTTCCAATAAATTATTCTAAGTAACAAAAAGTGAAAATGTTTAATTTGAGATAGATGTAATGTATGTTAATTTCTTTATTTTAAATTTTATTTCAAACGCAAAGAATTTTAAATTTTTTAAAACATTTAAAAAATTGAAAAGAAATTAAAAAAATTCTAAGAAAAGGAAAAAGAGATAGAAAATATTTAAAAAAAAGGAAGGACACAAATAATAAATGAAAAATAATAAATGAGCACAAGTGCCACCTATGGTTTAGAAATTATGCGTCAATGCACTTCTTCATCGGAAAATGGCCGAAAAATGATCAAAGAAGATGAAAGTACAATGTTTTGAAAACACAAAAACTCTAGAAATAAAATTTAAAAACAGAAAGGAGTACTTAGCGAGCCTTAGTTTTCCAAGCCACGTGGTCACGGGAGCTATTTGGCATATAAACGGAACATCATTTCATTTCAGTAGGAATGGAGTACTTAGCGAGCCTTAGGGTATGTTTAGTTGGATGTAGGTAAAAGTTGTATTAGGTAAGTAATGATAAGATTGGTAGATAATTAAAAGTAGGTAATTGAAGGTTAGTGAAGTAAGGTAATGAGTTAAAAAATTGTGTTTGAATATTTATTAGGTAACGTGAAGTAGGGAAAGAATATAATTACTAAAGTATCCTTTTTGTTGTTATTCTTTATTGGTTTAGGATGTTTTTATATGAAATTACCTTTTACATTTATATTTAACATAAAATAATAGCCATTATGCATTTGTATGTTGCACAAGAAAGAAGTACATACTCAATAGTTATATAAAATTTAAAATCCAAATAGAATATTGCACATAGTAAGTTTAAATACAAACACCATTATAAGTCATTCATAACATCAAAAAGTTTTACAAAAGCTATGTATGAGTAATGTAATCCTCCCACATGGCATTTGCAATGGAATCACATAATTCTTCTGCCATCATTGTGTTCTCATTCCCATTATGAACATGAGGTATGTTATGCCTACAAGTCCAGATAATTACAAAAAAAGAGAGTACAATAACAAAACTGTAGAAAACGAATTACAATAACAAAACTACAAAAAGAGAGCATTCAAAGTAGAAAATTGAAAAATAACCTCTCCTTCCCTTTTACATTTTGAAACATTATAAGCACATAGTCATAAGAAAATAAAAAAGCACAATGATGATAATAAAACAAAGCAAATATTCATCCAAAAGGTAGATATAAAATCTGTAGAGTAACCATATTCGAATATGGCATTTTAGATATGGAAACTTTGACCATAGATCTTAAACAAGGGATTCAGTAGAAGCTGAAAAAAATAGCTATTGTTAGAAATTCAAAACAAGGTTAGAAGTTTAAACAGCAAGGGACAGAGATGGAGCTTGGAAAAATGAAAATTACCTTAAATTGGATTCCGAAGAAAAAGTTTATTTTTTTCAAGGATGAAAATTGAAAGTATGTTGTCTCATTTTATCACTTTGCCACAATTTCTCATTCTCTTATCTCAAAAAATGAAAACTGAAAAAAAAGTGAACCAAAACTAGAAACTAAAAATTGAATCGCGGCTGGGGAGAGAAGAGGAACGAAAATTGAAAATTAAACGAGAAAAACAAAAATTGAAAAAAATACGACTGATATTACCTTGATCGGAAGAAGGATCACTGCTTGGATCGGAAAAAGATGACGATCGGAAGAAGATGGCGATGCGGGAAGAAGATGAAGATGGCGATGGTGAAGGGTAGCAGCGGAACCTAATTGATGTTACCTTGATATTTAGCCAAATTGGCGGTCACCTAAAAACTACTCCCTTCGTTCAATAATAATCTTCCTACTCTACCTTTTTTCCCGTCCGAAAAAAATCTTCCTACTCTACGTTTTCATACCCTCTCTTCCAAAAATACCCCTCTCATTAAATCTCACCCATTATTCCTAACTACACCCCTCCCCCCTCATTGAATGTATTGCCAAACTCAACCGTCCTCATTCACTCCTCCCCTCTCCCTCTCTTATCCGATCACAAGTCTCCAGATCCTCCTCAAACCCTTCAGATCTTCCGATCTGAACTCTTCATTTTCTCTATCTCCAAACTCAACTGCTTCGTCTCCTAGATCTGCAATGGATTCGTACGATTTGCGCTTCGAATCCATTATCCCGGAGACACAATTTGAGGATATTGGAGTTGATGATGGGGATTTCATCTCCGACAAGGTGGAGGACGAGGTCATCGTCATCGCCAGCGATGACAATATGGCCGATGTTGCCCCGGTCAGAGAGAGGAAGGACGTTGTCCTTTTTGAATCTCAGAAAGACACTGTTTTTCTTCATGGGAGGGAGGAGCCTAACTTTGTTGTTCTAGACGATGATATTGATGATGCTGATTGGTGCACAAAAGTGAGATTGAGCCTACTCAGGCAATAAACTCACGTATGCATCTCCACATCGATACCGTGAACATCTTGCTTCCAAGTTCTGATTCACATTTTTGGGCTTCAAAGTACAAGTGGGGAAGTTCCTTTCACATCCTTAAATTTTTAAATTTTCCTTGCAATTAATCACAGTTACTGTCTTATCTTCATATGTGTTTCATACCTTTGTGGGCTTCATACAAAGGGTAATGTTCCTTTGTCTGGAAAAAAGCTTCCTACTTTGACTTTTCCTCATTTTTAGTGGGTGCTTGAATTTCTGGGTATGCTTGTGTGCCTTTGATTTTCTGGGTATGCTTGTGTTTACACTGTTGCCTTTATGAACTATGTGGTCACTTTCTGTGATGAATTTCTGAGAATATAAGTGTTTGAATATGTGGGTATGCTTCTGTTTACACTGCTGCCTTTATTAACTATGTGGCCACTTTCTGTGATGAATTTCTGAGAATATGTGGGTTTGAATATGTGGGTGTGCTTCTGTTTACACTGTTGCTGCCTTTATGAACTATGTGGCCACTTTCTGTGATGAATTTCTGAGAATATGTGGGTTTGAATATGTGGGTATGCTCATGTTACAGTGTTAGGTGTGAGAAATGTAAGGCCATTTTCTGTGATGCTTGGCTGAGAATTTATAGTCCTACCATGATGAGCATGTTTACACTTAAACTGACTCTGAGTAGTGAAGGGTGTGGCCAGGTAGTCCTAGTATTTAAAAACTCATCAATGATGATATGTGAATACAATTTGGAATGTCATATGTTGATTGTCATTTTACATAGTTACATATAGAGCTTTTAGGGTGTTGTTGTCTTGATGTCAGTACACAACAGCCATAACCTAACAACCAAAACCCAAAAAACAAATGTGGCTACCATTTACAAAAAGCAAAACCCAAAAAAGCCCCCTTATGCCTACCATTTACATAAATGAAAACCAAAACATGGTAAGCAGTTAAAAAACCGAGTTTGGTAACCACAATCCAAAAAACAGTGCCTTTGAAGTGTGTGTTCAGTTCATGTATGAAGATAAGTACTCATCTGCATCTTCAGTGTTGAACTCAACCATCTCTTCATTAGTTGTAAAAATCTGATCTCCAACCAGTGTTGCTGCCTTTTCAATTAAGGCTTGGTCTATGTTCAAACATTTGGGAAGATTCCCTTCTCTGGCTAGTCTGTCCTTCCCCACGTGTGGCAATTTGTAGTTGTTGTTGCCTTCATGTTCCATTACTTTAGTCATTACTTGCTGGTAAGACAACCAAACCTTGTTTAGACATTCTGGACTCAGGGCATTATATGCTCTCTCAACAGCCTCTATCAACTCAACCACAGTAGTTGGAGCACACTGATCCTTTAAGGACTGGATGACTCTAAAGAACCCAAGATCTAGCATATTTAAGTCTGGAGAGTTTGGGGGGGTGATTGTTTAGAGTTATATGAAACCCATTTCTGTTTGCTGCTGCCATAAAGTCACAGTCCACTCCTTGAATATGTGGCCTTGTATTATCTTGCTGAATATGTATGTCTTTTGACATCTGTGTTGGCCATTTTTCATGGATTGCTGGAATAACTGTGTTTATCAGCATGTCCTTTGTTACTTCTTTGGTAACACTGGTAATTGGTTTAACCTCCAAAACTCCTTTTGGCCTATTCTTGCTCTTCCTTTTGGCTCTTAAATTTTCTGTGAAACTAAAAATGTCAATCTTGCCATCCCATAACACTTCTTGATTTTCCCCAAACAGTGGTCTCCCAACCACACAGAGAAACATTACTTTAGCAATGAACCTTTTTGATTTACAAGCCCTATATGGGTCCAGTTCATCAGGGAGAAGGTAAAACTTTTGAGCCATTTTGGACATAAAGAACCATTTCTCATCAATGTGTAAAACATTCTCAAAAGTCTTAAACCTAGAGTGCATTGGCATGGTATATGGGTCAACCTAATCTAGACAGAACCTCAACCTTGAAATTTTAATAGCATCTGAAAGGTACGGTTTAATAGCATTAGAATGGCTCCTAAGCATACATTTTTTAATCCACTCATGCACAGTGGACTTAGGCTTATGGATGGCAGCTGCAAGTGATCTTACAGTAGTCCTCCGCCTCAGGGGAGTTTCTGTTATAGCCTTTACATCCATGACAACCCTTTTTCTGCCACTTTTTCCTGCCATTCTATTCATGACATCAATGGCAATGCCCAGCTCTAATTGTTTCTTTGCAATGGCCCATATGCTACTGATTGTTCTTGTAGACACTTTAAATTGTGCTGCAAGGTTCTTGATCTGTCCATACTGAGCTGAGTAAGAACCAGCGGGGTTTTCGTTTGAATGTGACACCTGTCGTGTTACATTGTCTAATTTTTTGGTGTTATATGCAAGCCGCCTGGACATCGGGATGAAAAAAGGAAGAGGAATAAAGCTGAATGTGAAAGGATTGTTGAAAAGATTAGGAAGAAAAAGATGGAGAAGAAAGGGGAGTAGTGTTGGGGGTTAATAATCTTGGGGGGTTAAATAGCCTGGTTCTGTATTCAAAACTGCACTTTTTGGAGGATTTTTCAATTAGTATTGGGCGGCATTCCAAAATCATTGGAGGGAATGCCTAAATTTTGTTATGTAATCATGGATTTGATGTATGATAATGATTGAAATAGTGTAGTTGGTGTACTTTGATTGATTTCAATGTGTTCGGCCCTGGCAATTTCTGTTCTTTCTTTTTTTTCCTTCATTAAGGGTAATTTAGGCCTTATTCAAGCCTCCACTAAAAGTGAGGATAAGTCAAAGTAGGAAGCTTATTTCCGGATGGAGAGAGTATGTTGCTAAGAGGTAACCCTATCTCCCTCTGCTTCCCCTACCTTTCTTATCTATCTCAATTTTTATTATCAAACAAGCTAGGATGCCACGCCCCTGATAACCTGAATACCGATTAACCTAGTCTGATAAGAGCCACAGCCAATCCTTTCCGAACATGAAGAACACACAGGCAAGGAAGAGTCGAAAGGGATGAGTGAGGAAGACATAGTCACAAATCAATCTGTATGTTCCTCATCAGCTGCATTTCCCTTTCTCCTTCAATTTCAATCTCTTCTTTTTCTTGTTTCTCTTCGCTCACTTCCTATGAAGCTTCTGGTTCGGCGGAAAATTAGGGCATAAGAGCCAGTTCATCCAATCGAAATTATGGCGGTGCTCATAAATTCAGCACCTGCATTGACAAACCCGCCCTCAGATCTACCTAAGAAGCAGTGCTATTTCTTCACTGAAAGGCTGAGATTCTACTATTCCTTCCTGCACAAGAAGAGGTTTTTTTCTAGAGTGTTAGCGGTTGCAAACACACCCTTTGTGGGTAATGAGCTGAGAGACTTGCCCGTTAAAGACGGTGTCCTTGATCTGCTTAACTGGCTGGCACCCGAAAATGGCCCAAGAATAATAGAACTTAAGCTAGAGGAAGCAGTTCTAGATCTAGAGTATATGCTAGGGAAGGGATATCAGCCAACTGTAAGACAGGTGATCAACCTGGTCCAAGATCTTTGCCGCTACGATATGCCAGGGAAAGCTAGCAAAGTTATGGAAATGGCAGCTAGGTTTCGGTTACGGTGTTACACTGTCTCGGTGAGATACTTGTGCAATAAGGGAAATTTTGGTCATGCCCTTCATTTAGTTGAGAAGCTTGAGGAATATGGGTACAGAACGAGCACGAAGACGTATAATTGCATTATAAGAGGGTTTTGCGAGCACGAAAGTTTGAGTTTGAGCCTACAGTTTCTCGCTAGCCTCTTGAAAAGAGGAATGGTGCCTGATGCTGATACTCATTCAATCCTGCTTGAAGCAGTTTGTAGGGAGAAGGGGGTCGATGAGGCTATGGTGCTTTCGGAAAACATCATTGGTAAGGGCGGGAAGCTTAACCGTTTTTGTTACCATGTGTTGTTGAATGGGCTGCGCAAGGAAGGGAGAGTTGATGAAGCTATTCGATTCTTGAGAGAATTGCCATCTAAAGGGTGTAAGCCCAATGATTTCAGCTACAATATCTTATTGAGGATGTTGTGTGTTGAAGGACGCTGGGGAGTAGCAAATGAGCTTCTTGCTGATATGGGTGGGCAAAATTGTCCACCCACCTTGGGGATCTGCAATATTTTTATCACTTCGCTTGTGTTCCGTGGCCGAACAAAAGATGCCCTTAGTATCTTGGATGAAATGCATTCAGCCCAAGGGCTCAAGCCAACTGCTGCAAGTTACAACCCAATAATCGCACGCCTCTGCAAAGAAAAAAAGCTGAAAGATGTGATCAAGTGCCTCAAACAGATGATCTTAAAGCAGTGTGTTCTCAATAGTGGAACGTATATCCCCTTTGCCGACCTCTGTGAGCAGGGGATGTTGCAAGAGGCTCTTCAAATTCTAGAGAGTTTGAGGGCCCAACAGCTGCGCCCCTTTGATGAGTTTTACAATAACGTGATTGCCAGTTTCTGTATGGGGAATAAGTCCTACGCGGCTTTTCTACTCATGTATGATTTGACAATGTCTGGGTTCACTCCCGACTCATCCACCTACTCATCCCTCATCAAAGGGCTGTGCTTGGAGAGAATGCCAGATGCTGCGATTGAGATCATTAGGATTCTACACGAAAACAGTTACAGGCCAGATGTTCATGTCTTCAATGCTCTTGTGTATGGGTTGTGCAAATCTCGAAGAACAGATTTGTCATTGGGAGTTTATGAGGAGATGATTATGAAAGGGTATATGCCGAACGAGTATACGTATGAAATCATAGTCAAGGGACTCGTCCGCGAAAAACAAAAAGAGTTGGCATCTTTACTTTTGAAAGAGTTGCATAAGCTAATGGTCGAGCTGAATTACTATGAACGTAGCCACCAATGGTGTGGATATCCTACCACTTACTATGAACGTAGCCACTTCCAGGATCACATTGAAGGCTGATGAACATATCCACCTGTGGTTAACAGGCAAGACAAGGATGCTTTTATGTTTTTTTTATATACCAAAGTTCATAGTAAGTTCCTGTCTAAATAGATGCTTGGATTTAGTTAACTGGGCTATTTAGTACTTGTATTTTTCCTTATATTTTGGAAATTCAGGTAATTACACACAAATGTTTGTTCCTGAATATTTATTCTTCATGAAGGTGCTGCCATTTGTTCCCCTAACATCATATACACAAAAAAAGAAGTAAACCTTCAAATAATCATTGGGGAATATTAGTTTCATGAACAAAGAAAGTATTCTTCCTAGGATGGTATGTTTTTTTTGTTTGCTCGTTAGCATTAATCTCATAATTTCTGTTCTGGAAGTAAAAATTTTTCAGGATCTGTCTGTTTTCTTTCATGTATAATTTCCAGGAATTGCAGCATTATATTATGGATTGTACCAGAGCAGTGTAATGCCAACAATCAGAAAACCTTAATTGACGCAGGTAATCCATGGAAACATTTAACCACATTATCACGAAAGAAATATTCTTAGATAGGAGTAAGATGTAAACAAAATACCAATATATATAGGAGTGGCATGATTTTAATTCCCTAAATAGGGGTATGATGATAGTGTGTGTGATGGTAATGTGGCAGTGTGATGGCATTGTTGTGGTAGAGGTCAACACCAACGACCTGCGGTTACACTCCGGCAAGCCCAAAGCAGCGGACGACAGCACTTCGGCGACCCCACAGCAGCAGCAGGTGGCGCTCCTAAGACTCCACAGTGGAAGACGACGGTACTGTGGCGTTGAATGGAAGCACTCTGGTGACCCACAACGGGGGCCGGCGATGGTGGATGTCAGTCTGGGAAGGTGTGGCGGCGACAAATGACACTGTGAGAGTTTCTTTTTTATAATAACAATATGATGCGCAGTTTTATTTAAGTCTTAAAAGATTAGCAATCTTATTTTGATATTTTCATACTCTTTTAGGTTGCGTTCTGTTCGCCTGATTTGATCTGATATGATTGAATCTGATTTGATATAAATTCAATTAAAATTAAAATTAAAATTAAAATTATTATTCTTGTAATAGTTATAACAATAGTAATAATAATAGAAATATTAATAATAATAGTAATAATAATGACTACAATAATAATAATAGTAATAATAATAATAATAACAACAATAATAATAATCATAATAATAATATTAATATTAATAGTAATAGTAATAATATTAATATTAATAGTAATAATAATAAAAATAGTAATAATAATAATAGTAATAATATCAATAATTTAAATTGTTTTTAGATCTGATCTGAATGGATTTGATCTGGTCTGATTTTAATAAGAATAATTAATAAGCAGAATAGCCTTAATCCTATTTAGGGAGTTCTCCACATTAAGGATGAACATTTAGGAGTCTTTCATTGTGTTAGTGCTTATTGATATGAGTTACGGCTGATAAACAATTTTAATTATAAGCTACATACAAGTTAGATATTGGTTGGTGTAGATAAAATGACTTAAATAATTATAAGTGCAGAGAAACCACTTAGCGGAGCTAACTCATGAGTGTATATTGAATATGGCGCAATGCCTTGGCGATTAGTCGTCGATGGACGTGATTCCCCCTCACCCGTGACCGTATGGACGTGATTCCCTTCCCGCCAGCCCATTGGGTGTTGCTTTTTTTTTTTTGTGTGTGTGTATTGTTTCTCCTTCTGTCGTGGACCGTGGTCGTCATCTTCTTCCTTTTTTTTTTGAGCAATGCTAGGGGTATACCAAAGGTGTACCCTAATTGTACACCACATGCTTCTCCACCACACATCTTTATTTGTTTTTTATTTTTTAAATTTTTTGGAATCTTTTGCCAATTATTGTGGACAAGAAGGGGGTGGGGGACAATTGGGGTACACCAAAATGGTGTACCCCTAACATTTTTCTTTTTTTTTTTTCATTCTTCCGATCTCCTTTAATTTTTTTACTTTTTAATTTTAGTCTTTGCCGTTTTTACTTTTTTTTGTTTTCAATTTTACATTTTTGTCGTTAATTGAATGCAAAACTATTTAAGAAATAATAAAATCAATGAAATGTTAATTCAATTATGTACTCTAAATTTTATTATTATTTAATTTTAAAGAGAAATTTATTTAAATAACACTAAAACATAATTTAATTTTATGTTAATGTAATCCCAATGATTATGTTGGGAATTAAGCACACAACACCAATAAATAATCTGCGAGAAACGAGAGAAACGGAACACAAACGACACAATCTCGAATCTGATCAAAGGTGAATCCATCGGGTCCCACTGAACCGGTAACCGTTCCGGACCAAGTATCAGATAAAGACGATAGCAGTAGCAAAGCTTGAACTTCATCATCGAACTTAATGCCCACTGACAAAAGTCTGGCTAAGATCGAATTCAACTTGTTGATATGCTCCGTAACTGAAGTGCCTTCTTTCATCCTTGTGTTCACCAGCTCTCTGATCATGAAAACTTTGTTCGCTGCAGATGACTTCTCGTACATGCTAGACATCGCTTCCATAAATCCCTTCGACGTCTTCTCCTTCAGAATGTTGAACGCAACATTCTTGGTCAACGAGAGTCGGATCACGAACATTGCTTTCCGATCCAAACCTGCCCAATCTGCATTCGACATCTTTTCTGGCTTGTCACCCAAAATCACGTCCAAATCTTTGTGAATCAGCAAATCTTCAATTTGCATCTTCCACCAACTGAAATCTGTACCATCAAACTTTTCAATTCGGAACTTCCCATCTTCTGCCATCTCAAACGACTAGACGAGATACCCGGTATAAAAATTTCAGATCTTGGTAATTTCGTCAGAAACTCAAGTCCACCACTTCAATTAATTTAGCCCAAACCAAAACAAGCCCAAAACACCAAAAAACTCCGCCAGACTAGCAGGGCTAGAGAAGATTGATCGGCGGCGGCGGCAAATCTGGACGGCGGATGGCGATCTCGACGGACGGTTCCCGACAACGGCGGCGGCTCCTTCTGCCGCTACTCCTGCGTGCGGCGGTCCGTGCGCAAACGAAGGCGGCGATCTGGGACCTCGACTGGGTTGTGCGCTGGAAAGACACAGCAGCTCTACTCCTTGCTGCTCAAGGACGGTGATTGACGGCTGAGATTCCCGGTGAATCTGTGCGCGGGTCACTCAGCGGCTGCTCCTCAACGCGGTTCTTCGTTGCTGCGCGTCCCTCCTCTGGATCGCAGCTTCTGCCACTACACAAATAGCCTACACAGCGGCGCTCCTCAATTGAACGGCCACACACACGGACGATCTGGATCCCACACGGTTCTTCACACAAGAACCCTAGGTGACAAATCTTCTTGTGCTCGTGTTGAATAACCTTGCTCTGATACCACTTGTAGGGAATTAAGCACACAACACACACAAATAATCTGCGAGAAACGAGAGAAACAGAACACAAACGGCACACAAGAATTTAACGTGGTTCGGTCGCCAACTGCAACCTACTCCACATGGGGCAACTAGAAGGATTTTATTTCTTTCACTTGTGGTGTCTCACGGAATTACAAGTACGCTAATATATATGAGAAAAACCTAGGATTACAAAACATGGGCGAGCCTACAAGTCAAGCCCAAGCCTCCACAAACCCAACAGATTAGTAGTTTCTTAAGTGTTTTTTTTCATTTTTTATATACTTTTAAATTTAGTACTCCGTATTAGCAAGAGAAATACAGACTACCCGAGTATTATTTTGTATTTTTAGATTTGTAGGAAATAATATAAAATCCCAAACATTGATATCCTCTATCTATCTTTCCTGCTGCAGACCGTCTTCTTCTTCTTCAATAGTGTCGGAGACCTTTCTCCCGAACGTCTCCGGCAAAGAAAAGACAACCGAGCAGCACGCCCCAACTGCCAATCCAAAAACCCCGTACGAATAATACCTGTTCGACCTGCCAAGCCCCACGAGGAAGGGGCTGACGGCGCCGCCGAGCACCAGCGCCTGCCTCACCATTGCCACCGCCGAGCTCCTCACGCACGTCGGGAACAGGTCGAGCGTGTATATGAGCAACACGTTAAACCCGGTGCACCCGGCGAAGAACGCCACCACTTCCAGCCCGATCTGCGCGACCTTTAGCTGGTCGCCGACCATCACGGCACACCCGCCGCAGCAAACGCAGCACAGGACGCCCAGTCCGAGCAGCGAGCTCTTCCTCCTTAGCTTGTCTATCACTAGGGAGGTTATTAGAGCGGCCGGTAGCTCGGACAGGGCGTTCAGGGCCGTGCTGAGGTAGATGCTGAAGGGCATCTCCCCCGCACTGAGGGGTATGCCGTAGTAGACGAGCCCGAGCCCGAACCCCGCACCCATGACCGCCAGGAGCCGGCGCACGGCCCAACCTTTGTTGAGCAACACTTTTAGTGCCAAGTACAAATCCATGGGCGGATTTGTGGAATCTAGTTCGTCCTGGTTTTCTTGAATAATGAAGGATCCAAAGAAGCTGCATGTTATGGAGTTTCGGGTGTCCGGTGGGGCGATGCTTCGGATCGTTTGGATGAAGTCCGTCGTCAATCCCCGAACGTAAAGCCATCTCGGGGACTCTGATACGAAGAAAAAGACCATGAGTGAGTGGACGACCCCCGGGACCCCGGTCCAGAGGTAGAGATACCTCCAGGAGTAGCCGGAGTTCAAGTATGCGATTGCAGGGAGAGAGAGGAAGCCGAGGGAGAAACAAATGAAGCCTACGATCCCTACCTGTCCCCGCCACCGCCTCCCGACGATCTCGGTTGCCAAAACCAACGCGCACGTTCCGATGGTTGCCCGGCCGAAGCCGGACAGGAACCTGCAGAACGAGTAGACCCACACGTTGGAGGCGGCGGCTGTGAGGATGCTGGCGACGTTCATGAGCAAACACGAGAGCGCGAGCATTTTCTTGCGGCCCAGGGTGGAGTCGGCGAACGTCGAGAGCACCATACCGCCCACCAGGCACCCGACGAAGTAGGACGTGGAGGGCAGGCCGGTCACCAGCGGGCCGGCGCACTCCAGGGACCACTCCGACACAACCGAGGTTTGCGCCGGGGCGTCCCACGCCCACGCGTCCCTCGGGAGCGCGCAGGCATCGGTGGCCTTCATGTCCCCCCGGCACTCCGAGGACACGGTTGTCGTCTCGCAGTGCCAGGTGGGGACAAGGTCCGTGAAGATGGTGATGAAGGTCTGGTGGGCGTCAAAGAACCACGCGAGAGAAGTGAGGGAGACTTGCAGGAGCTGCGCCCACCCGAAGCTTCCGATGCAACTCTCGACGGCGTCGTCATAGGACCGCTTTGATCTTGCTTTTGCGGCGGCGGCGGCGGTGGTCGGAAGAACCAGTAGAAGTGGGTCCTCTTCTGGGCGGCGGTCGCTCGACATGGGAAAATATTACTGGTAGTGGGTGATAGATAGATATTGGAAAAACGTACACTCCGCAGGTATAATATAAGACGACCCTCAGCTCAACTCCCCACGAGAATGGTAAAAAGCATAACTCGTTCAGTTAGGGCCGGCCCCGAAAAAATAAAATTGGTTCGGTCCTAAATTTGCATTTTAGGCCCTATTTTATTTTTTTAGAATACTTTTTCTTTAAAATTATTAATAAATTTAAAAATATGGGGCCCTAAACTTTTAGGGACCCCATGCGATTGACCACTTTGCACACTCTCCGGGCCACCCATGCGTTCAGTCATTACTCCCTCCGTCCAAAAACTTTCTTCCCGTTGCGCAAAACGAAGAAAAATTCCAAGTTTTTTCAATCTATTTTATTTAAATATTGGTATAGAAATAAAAAATAAAACATACATATTTAAAAATTACATCAAAAGTTCAACAAAACAAGTGGTGACAAAAATATTTTATTTTATCACATATGCCATGATAAAACATAAATAAATACAAATTCCCGTGAAATTGAAATAGTGCTCTGAGAAAAAAGTTTTAAGACGGAGGGAATATTTTTTTCTATGTAGAGGGAATATATAAGATGCCTTAACGCATTCTTCTTTATGTAGGGAGGATATATATAAAGATGGGTTAAATGCATTTTTATGTAGGGCCGTATGGTAGGAGAATTTTCTAGTTATAGTGGATGACTATTTAATTGTCTTTTGAAGATAAAAGATACTTTGGATAAGAATCGTCAATTTTATAAACGGAGTACAGTATGTATTTTAATTGAATTGTTACGTAAATGTTGTCAAATTTTTTGTTGAGTAATTAAGAACCTTGTCCCCCGCATGTGGTGGGGTAGGGGGGAGGGCAAGTGAGGTGTTTGGGTGAGTGTAGGGGTACGAAACATCAATTTTACCAATGAAACACCGTAGAGGCCACATGCATGTCCTAATATGACCTTGAATTACAAGTTTCAAAGAATCCTTGTGTGTGTACACACACTATATATATATATATATATATTGGTAACAATAACAACTATAATTAGAATAATATAAAAAGTACACTTAAATAATTTTTTCGAAATCTTTTTAGTTTTTAAAGTTCTTTTAGTTGTTTTTCAATTTTTTGAGTTTTTTTGTTTAATTTTTTCCAGTTTCTTCTAATATTCATCCATTTTTTTCTAAAGAAGAGACTCTAAAAAATAAATGGAAACTACTCCGCATCTTAGATTGTCAAATTATGTTATCCAGTTTATATACTCAGTACTCCCTCTGTCCCAAATTAAATGGCTTGTTTCAGCATATGATCTTTGACTGAAATTAATTTTTATTCAATTTATAAGACAATTGGATGGAATTTAAAAAATAAAATTTTGTATATTGAAAAACTGTATTAAGATTAGCTCTATGAAACAAGCATAAGACATAACTATATTATTTTATTAGATGACTAAAAAAAATAAATTAAGAAAATGAATAAAATTTGACTTTGTGAATAGTTAATTTATTTGTATAATTTAATTTGGGACTGAGTATGGGGTAAAATACTAAATTTGATTTTTTTTTCAAAACATGTAACGTCATTTAGTTATTAATTATAGAAAAGATTAGAATGAGATAAAATGACTTTGTAAATCTTACTATAATGAGGACATGCGTAATAGACCAATAGTCCATAGTACATTAATAAAGAAGGTACGTACATTCATCAAGTGGGGACTAATTAAAGCTAGGTGGCTCACATGGAGATTTCAGTGACAACAAATTTTGATGGAGTCCATACAAGACCAGATAGACCCATGAAGAGACATATTTTGGTCCGTGGCGGGGTCGGCCTCGCCTGATCCACCTCAGCTTCCCATCCATCTGGAAACGACCTTGAATTAATTTACGTTGTCCAGTCGACAAGGTAAGAGGTACTAATGAAGTAAGATCCGAGTTCGATTCCTAACAACTGGGAAAATCAACTATGCTAGGCTCCATTCTTTGCAATTAAAGTGAGGGAACCTTCAGGATGGGGCTCATCCTTTTTTTGAATAATTTATTTATACCTAAAAGCTTTATATGGAGTACTTAAATCTTGTGTGAGTGTAAGTACAAAATTGAATGATTACATTGATACAAAATGTCAGTATGAAATTTTACGATCACACTATTGCAGTGATATTTTGTATCAATATAAACCATCAAAAGCTAAATTTAAAATTTAGAGTAATTTGGAATACAATATTTGGAGTACAACTAAAATCATTACTCCCTCGTCCTAAAACGCTCTTTCTATTTCTGTTTACGAAGTTTGACCGACTTTATTTTCAATTCAATTTATATGATTCTAGGTTAAAATTAAAAAAAAAAGAAATTTATATACTTAAAAACTACATCAAGAGATCTATAAAACAAGATGTGACAAAACTATATGATTTTATCAAATACTACGTAACTAGCAAAAATACGTAAAGTTAGTGATGAAAGTTTGACTGTATGAATAGTAACAGGAAAAAACGTTTTAGCAACGAGAGAGTATACGACTTTTCAATTATATCAACTCTTTCACCTACTAGTCTTCCATATATGTATGGTTCCCCCATACTCCATCAACGTTAAAGTTTGAGTCGGAATTGAGACCGGCAATTCCAAGCTCGCACCGGGTAACATGCTAACAACGGCAGTTGTGGGTATTAATGCTACTAGCATCGGCAGGGGCGGCTCTAGGCGTGAAAAATGGAGGACAAGACTTATACTCCCTCCATACGAAAATGTTTCTTCCCATTTGACTTTTTACGGTCTTCAAGATTGTACTTTGACCACTAATATCTTTATTTAAACATGGATATATTTTAAAAAAAATTGATATTTGAAAACTATATTTCAATATGAATATATTCATATAAAAGTTATATCGCAATACAATATATTTTTCCACATATCATAATCAAAGTCTACAAGCTTTGACCAAGAAAAGTCAAATGGGAAGAATATTTTCCGGACGGAGGGAGTATCAGTTTATTTTAAAAAAGATATTTTTATAAGTATATTTAATTAAATGAATACATATTTATTATTAGCTATTGTACTTTGATAATAATATTAAATAAATAATAGAATATTGTCAAACAAAATATACAACACTTTGAGATCACTAAATATAATTATAGTTGTTGCTTCTAGTCCCCTTGTTATATCAAAAGATACCTGCTCTAAAGTCCAAAAAAATAAGAAAAATACAAACTTGACCAACATTAATATTTATTATAACCATAACTAATACCACGTTTCACACCAACATGCTCTATTTAAGTGATATCAAAGAATTTCATTGACAAATAAAACATAATACTCATATTTGTGTTAACAACAATACATTATACGATAACATTTCAAAGGGTTACAACTAACCCATTTACTAGAAAGTAAACCAACATCTCAAAATCAGTTCATCATTTGCGTACGTTTCAAGATAAAATATAAACAGTCAAAGTGAACTAAATTAAAATACGCATTGATATGGATGATATAGTCCAAAGCTTTATTGCTCGTTACTGTCTACATCTTCAAGTTCATCGCTCTCAACTTCACCATCTTTGTTCCATCGATTCTCGTCATGATTTTTCTTGTGATTGTATTACCATTAATTGTAAAGTCATCGATTTCAGATTGATTAACAATTGAACCCTATGCAAAAAAAATATAAGCACATGATAACGTAATTACAAATTTTACACCAAATTTACCTTACACTCATGCTAGGTGGCATAACTTTAAACTATATAATGAAGTAAACAAAAATCAAATGAAATATGGGTATTTAACAATGATAAATAGAGACTAACCAGGGTACTTAAAAGCAATGATACCACATCTTCTAAATTCTGGAGTCTCTCTTTTGTTTCCTCATGCTCTTGTTCAATTCTCAATCTTTTTGCTTTCTCTTCCCTCAAGGCACACCGTTTAGAACGAGATCGAGGAACTCTAACTCCCATACCAAAGGTCTTTGCATATCCATTTTTGTCTTCTCCCACTACCTTTTCAAAAACTTCATTACTAGCAGGGGCACCAACTTTTACATCTTTTAAGATATCCAACTCCTAAAGAATTAACTCGTGTAAAATTATGAATAAATTATTAATGAATAAGGGTATAATTATCTAAATAACAATGCAAAATTAAGGTTTTGCCTACTTTTATCTACCTTTCTCATAGGTAAAACATCATCAGTTTTGAACCTTTCTTTGGCTCATGTGTAAAGAGCCATGTTCCAAGCATGTCTACCTTATTTCCTTTTGCTTAAAAATCAGTTATTATTGACAAAAGCACATAAGGCTTTTATCACATGATAAACGAGAAGATCATATTAACAAAGTAGCTCCACACAGTTTGCAAAGCGCAAAAAAATTGTAAGTTTGTGTAGTTATTTATTTGTTCCACCCATCCTAAATGAATATGAATGATGTCGAATAATGTATCAAGTACCTCTTTGTTAGCTTGAATACGGGCATGACTTCTTGTCCTAGAATAATGTGGAACTCAATTCTTACCACGATTCTTAGTCTCTATTTCGCTTCTTTTCTACATGAAAAAGTACTTGATATTCTTAGAGCTATATACACATCGAATAAATTAACATATACAATGAAAAACGGTTTTAGAATAATACCTTGCCTAAATCTGAACTTCAAAACTCTACCAAGTTCGTCCACATATTCGGAGGTATATGTTGGGGCCTGTTCTGTAATGTTATTGCAAGAGTTTTTGCATTAAAATATATTTCTTTTAGCACAAATTTGTAATCTTTCCAAGAAGCATGAGCTTTCATTACCATCCCTTCACATGGCTTCTTTCCTTCAGGAAAGTTGTAGGACCTCTGAAACATTTTATGTTTCACGAAGAGGTAAGTTGTGAATAATATTTTAGAGTCACTTTAAGTTTTAAGGTATTGGAAATACACATTTAAAATTTATGCATACCTTGACTTCTATACATATTAGATCCTTCTTTGTCTCTTCCATTTTTCTCCAATCAAAGCAATTAAGCAGAAGTTTTCTTGATCCTTTAGCACCTTTAGAACAGAATTCAGTATCCATAAATCAAAACTTGAATGTAAAGTCATGTTATGTGCTTTCATATCAATTCCGAAGCAAATATTTAACAACTAGAATTCATGATTAAGCACATAAGCATCTAAGAAACTCAAAAATCAGCTTGAATACCAAGAAAAGATAACAGATTTCTTTTAAATGACACTTATTAAGATCAAATATTTCTTTAAATCAGCACTTTAAGCATCAAAAACATCATATAAACGTCATTATATGCTTATAAATATTGTCTCTAAGAAAGATATATCAATACTATTTCATACTTCAAGCAACGAAGCACTCTAAAGGACAAAAAATCAGCATGAGTAGTGCAGATTTCAGAAAAATCAGAAAGTACAAATCAATTTTTTTTGGATATTTAGCTTTTAAATGCTTCAAAATCAGCACACAATTCTTGCATAAGACATCCATACATGTTGTACTCATAAAAATATGAATAAATCAGCACAAATGCAACTTATATTACCAATTGGATACTCAAATTAGCAAGTACTTACTTTAAGTACTCCTTCACTATAATACTTTAACACACGTAGAAAAGCTTTAGTCCTTTGTGTTTTTTGTTTTGCTGCATAAACCTGGTGGTAGGTTCCCAAGGTATATTGAAATTAGTATGAGGATTTCACAACATAGTCATGAAATTCTAGTGATGTAACACACTGATGTCAGACAACGGGGTAATAATTTCATCTCAAACTTCTAAAAAATATGAAAATATGACCTGTAGAGTAGATTAAAAAAGAAACAAATGAAATGGGAGAGTGCGGATCAGAGTATGACATTTTTTGTGCTAACGAGCACCGCAACACATATAATTGTTTTGTTTTTTTTCTTGAAGAAATGATGATGGCGAATTAGTTAGGAATCACAGGATGAACATTACTATGGCGAACACTCGTTTGATATCGAATTGATAGAGACGTGAAGACTACGCCTAGAAGTACAGAACCAGAACAAATGATAAACAGAAACAATGGATTTCAGTTAAAACATGCTCGAACTAGAAATGTGGGAAACACAATAACCATGGGGGATATAACTATTAGAGCTTCATCTCAAACGTGTTTCAAATATAACATCATCAATCGATTCAAATCCTAGGAATCAAATGGAATTAGCAGATGAATTGAAGCAGCATCATATGGGAGAGATTTAATAATAAGCATACTAGAGATGACGAGAACCCTAGGTTTGGCCATCTGACCGCGACCTAATTTCCCCATTTTGCCCCTGACGCCGTGGCTCTTGGCAACTCGGATCGACATTACGATCTTCTGCTTGGTTCCTTCGATCGCGGCCTGGCGGGCTTGCTGGAGCTCGGCATCGTCGCACTGGAGTTAACCATCTGAGAATAAGACGATGAGAGGACGCCAAAGGGGTGGCTTTATTGTTGTTGTTATTTTATATATATATATATATATATATATATATATATATATATATATATATATATATATATATATATATATATATATATCGGTTATTCTGTTCATCGAATAACCGATTACCAAAACCATGAACCACAAAATAAACACAAAGCTAGCAGGAAATTGAAGCATTTTGGGCTGCCACACTGTCTGGGCCATAACTTTGGTAATGAGTGTCCGATTTCAACAGTCTACCCCCTTCTGGAAAGGTCTCGGCGAGATGCCCAGTGGCCCGATCAGTCAAAGACCCATTGAGATCCATCTTCGATTTGAAATCTTACTTTTAGAATGTTAATTTTGCAGTTTTGTCTTTTTGGGTCTTCTTCTTATTTGTTTACAGTTTTTTAGCTATAAATGCTCTACATGTTAGCAATTCTATGTAAATTTGGTATGACTGTTACTTCAGTTTTTTGTTTCCAGTTTCATGGTCAATCCCCTGATTTTTTATTCCGATTTGCGGTTGATCGACATATCTTTTAACCGCATTAGAAATGGTTAACTGTTAAGAATCTATATCTTATTATTCTACATCCATATCAATAATTCTATATACCTCCACTAGCGTTTTCATTCCTCTCTTTTTTAATTTGTTGATATGTTCTCTTTTATCATATGTCTTGATTCTATTCAGTCAGTTTAGTACTTTACTTTTAACTTATAACTTAAAAATTTGAAATTAAAATTTATAAATTTTAATTTGTAAATATTCAATGTAAAAAAATTATTTTTAATCTTTAATTTATAGTTTTTTATCCTTAAAATTTATATTTCATTTTAATATCATATATTTTTGTGCGATCAAACAACAAAATTCAAATTGAGGTTTTTCATTTCCAATTTCATGACCTCAATTTTGTGTCCTAAATGATGCCTAATTTTATGATTAAGATATTTAAATTAAATGTCACTAAAATCAATACCGACAGATAAAATTTTGTAGCTAAAACTATAAACAATACAGACAGATAAATTTTAGTTGCTAATACTATAAACAATACCAACAGATAATTTTTTTGTTGCTAATGCTATAAACAATACTGACTGATAAAGTTTTGTCGCTAAAACTATAAGCAATACCAACAGATAAAAGTTCGTTGCTAAAGCTATAACCAATAGCGACAGATATTACTCTTTCTGTGGGTCAAATAGTTTTTTTTCTTCAAATAATTTTATCTGTCGTTAATATTCTCTTTTTAGCGACAAATAAGGTTTCTGTCCCTACGGATCTGTCGGTACTACCCTTTTTTTGTAGTGATTAAAAAATCTATTGCTAGAATTAACTATTTTGCTAGTTGCATCTTACTAAAATTTAGTAGCACCCTAGTGCAACTACACTTTTGGAACGACGGTAGCAATCTAGTTATAACTAAGGCTTTGTTTGGTAACGGCGTTTTCGATTAGCGTTAGCATTTTGGATAAAATTTTAACGGTGCGGATTAATTCTGAAAAACGCTAACGTTAAAGGCTACCGTCGGATAGCTTTTTCAAAACGCTAACGCTAATCTCTGAAGCTGATGCCAAACGGGGCCTAAGTTGTAAACAAACCATGAACGGAAATTCATTGTCATACAATCAAAGAAATTATCAATGGGCAATTTGATACATTCTTCTTCGAAAAAATACATACTACAAATATGACAACCTCCTCCATTGAGAGATCTTTGGAGTTTGAGCGTAGGTCTTAGTGAGATCTTAGATCATACCACTCACATAGAAAAATGTGAGCCTTAGCCGTTAAAGGTTAAGAGCAGTGGAAAGATAAATATAATTGGTTGAATCTTGATTGATAATGATGTGATATGATGCTGTGATGTATTCATATGATGTATTGTTATTACGGAATAAAGAAACTGAGTAATCAAAGTAAACAGAAAACGTAAAGACACACAGATTTAACGTGGTACACCAACGTTGTGTTGACTACGCCCATATGCAAGAACGGAGGCAAACTCTACATAGTTGTTGTGCCCTACCTCTGTATAAATAGGCCCACAAAACGGGCTAGGCTCAATACAAAAATTAGAGCCCAATACTTATTTGTGTAGCGGCAACACAATACAGATTCAAGACATATTAATATGTATAATTGTATAGGTTTGGGGTTCTACTCTGATAGTTGATTCGAGCATTATATATATTCTCACAACAACAACAACAACAACCCAGTTAAATCCCACAAGAGTAGGGTCTGTGGAGGGTGTGTGTACGCAGACCTTGCCCCTACTTGAAAGTAGAGAGGCTGTTTCCAAAGAGACCCCCGGCTCAACGTCGAAAGTTGCATTGCTTGACTAACTGTTACTTCATTAATTAAAGAAGCGCAGACAGTTTAGAGATCTATTTTGATTTATTCAATCACACCACAAAGCCAAAAAATGGTAAAAGTTTGGCTCCATCGGAGATCCATTATATATATTCTCACTTAGCTTTCAATTGAGCATGTAATCTTTGTTGTCTTCACTGCACGCAAGTATGAATCAGGGATTGCATAAGCAGCTTGGTGGTCAGTGATGCTTGGCAAAGTGGATCGTTTGAAGCTGTTTGTTATAAGTTATTTATTCTCTGAAACTTATTTATTTAAATTATAAATATGTTTTAATGATATTGTTTTTAATGGCTTCCACAACATTTACTTTATCACTTCGATTAATTTATGTTTATTTTAAATTCTTATGAACGCATGTAATTGTTTTTAAGTTGATTGTGCATGCGAATACCAATTTAATAACAAACTGATTCGCTGACTCGTTTGTTTGGATACCCCACCAATAGAACCCAGCAAAAGTCCCGAATAAGCATGAATCTACTTCCTAGGGGTCGCGCATTATTTTTACTACTCCCAAGATCCCAACCCCTAGATTAGGTACCCTTGATAAGAAGATGAGCATGTGCTTAATAAGAAAATCTGGCGCGGCAACATCATTATTAAACGGGATTACCTAAAACCAAAATAAGACTAAAACATTGAATATATACCAAAATAGGACTTCTATGTTTTTATTCTCGACATAGGACTTAAAATGCATTTACATTACCAAACATGTGCATGTACATTACCAAAAAGTATATTAATGTACACATGTATAGTATCACATTACAATCACATTACTATAGTGTGAAGTCTTATTTTGAAAAAAACATGAAAATCATATTTTAATAATTTTTCTCTATGTCCTAGTCTTATTTAAGGTAATTTCTATACCTAATAAGATTTTTGACAAGGAATCCTGGGGGTGTATCACACAACATATCATTATACTTAAGATCTATAAATCTCTATAGCTTCATTGCATTGCCTAACTTTACTATTGAAGTCACTACACTAATCTCAAATCCCGACCAAAACATATCAGTATTCTTTTTTGTGAAATTTGCACTAAATAGGATTAAAACATAATGACTTTCCTAATGTAGGAGTTAACCTTTTTTATTCCCTAAATAGGACTTAATAATGACCTAGTGGGAGAAATAATGTACAGTAATAATGGACATTTACTTGAATAATGACTACTTGATAATGACCAAATGTCCTACATTGGAAAATAAAAATATATGATCCTATATTGGAAAAGTCATTATGTTTTAATCCTATTTACGTAAATTAATCTTGTTTTTTTATCTCTTGTTATGCGCGTTGTGTTTTGGAATAAGAATAGTTTAACCCTAAAAGGCATAAATGCGCTTGTTTGCTCTCTTACGTTTTTGGGAAATGCTTGGTTCACAAACACAATCATCACAAAATTCACAAACTTACTATTTGTGAACTTTGATAAAAAAAAAATAAATGGTCTAAAACAATTTTAAATTGAGAATTTAAACCATAAATAGTAAGTTTGTGGAGTTTGTGATCATTCTGTTTGTGAACATATCATTGCTCTACGTTTTTAGCTATTGGATTTGCATCCAAAATATTGTCAAACCACTTTTTGAGAGAAGGTTATGTTAACAAGAATTCATTCTAATAATCCATTTTCAAAGTAATTCCATTGGCCATGCTTTGATTGACAATCAAATATTAACTTTATTTCATATTAAACCAAATTGATTCAATAGATTTATCTTTTGAAGAAATTTTAAAAATTTTGTAGAACGCTTATTTATTTATTTTCAACATTGTATTAAATCAATTTCAAGTACTCATTTAGTCATTTATTACTTTAATAAAACTTTCTTTGAGTACGTAAAGTCAAACTCTTAGAATTAATCGACTCAAGAATATATATATATATATATATATATATATATATATATATATATATATATATATATATATATATATATATATATATAAGAATAGAAGAATAGTCGCAAATTATACTATACAACCGGTTGTACTCAAAATTGGATACAACCGGTTAAACAAAGAAGAAAAGGTGTCGATCGGATGAGAAATGAGGTGCTCCTGGTCGGGTTAGGTCGGAGGAAGGAAGCCGCGTCGAAGGAAGATTGGGAGGAAGAAAGCTATTGTGTGGAAGGGAGATGTGCACGGTCGATCGAGAAAGCTGTTGATAGGCCGAAGGAGAGATGGTGTATGAAAAGCCTAGTGGATGAGTCCATCGATCGAAGGAGAGGGTAGCAGGTCGGGTGAGAGAAAAAAGAAAATTATTTATTGTATGAATTTTATTTATTTGAGAATGAACATTAAGTTTTTTTCGAATTAGTACTATTTTATTTCAGAATCTACACTACGTTATTTGTAAATAAATTTGTGAAAATGAATGTTACATTATTTTAGAATGAGTACTACATTTTTTAGAATGAGTACCATGCTATAGTTATATTTATGCGAAAATGAGTATTATTTTATTTCAGAATGAGTAGGAACGAGATGTACCTATCTAGGTACATCTGGTTTGTACCATATACGTTCTCAAGAATAGTTTGAATTGACAAATAAAGAAAGGTTA